GACTCCTCAGGGTGCCGTCAGCCAGGCAATGTCGGCTGGCGACCCCCAGGGGGAGGGCCTTCTCTGTGGCAGCTCCTGCCCTCTGGAACGATTTGCCCCCGGAGATATGAAGGATATCAGATCGCCGGGTTTTTCGCCGTGCCCTAAAAACTTTTCTTTTCCATCAAGCAGGGCTGGCGTGAAACCCCCTCCCCTTTTTAGTTTTTAGCTTTTTAAATTGTCAGAGGGGTTTTAGTTTCAATGTTTTAAATTTTTGGGCCACAGTTATTTAATTCTTTTAATAATTTTAAATTTTGTATTGATATGTGTTTTAGTCTGGCAGTGTACCGCCCTGAGTCCACTTGGAGAAGGGCGGGATATAAATTGAATAAAATAAATAAATAAATAAATACCTTCACAACTAGTGCTGTGGTTGTAATTTTTGCCTCTTTGGCTCAATGGAATATATGAGAAATGAAAGAAACATCCTTAGAAAGAAGATTGATAAGAAATAAAAACAGATGTCCGTATTGACTCAAAGCAATTTTGGCAGCTAGTCTATATTTCTGGCTCTTATATATATATTTCTGTTCACAAATTCATCATGTCAGACATCTTTAAGTCCAGTCAGCTTCCATCTTTCTGAATCCTCTCTTGCGCATCGTATGAATTATTAGCAATAATAAGAGTTCTGTGTAAAATGTATTGTTCTTTTAAAAGATCGGGAAGACGGGAAAGAAGGGAATCTCAGAAAAAGACCTGAAAAGAGATCTTATTTTGGGAAATAGTCTATTAGCCTTGGTGCCTTGGTGGTGCAGCAGACTAAAGTGCTGTTAAGTAGCACTTAGCTGCCAGCTGCCTGCAATTTACTGCAAGTTCAAATCTCACCAGGCTCAAGGTTGACTCAGCCTTCCATCCTTCCGAGGTAGGTAAAATGAGGACCCAGATTATGGGGGCAATAAGATGACTTTGTATAAAAAGAACACTGCTTTGAGGGGGGGCAAAAGCCCTACTAAGCAGGTATATACAAAAGTATGAAGGCTATTGCTTAACGCATTGTAAGCAGCCCTGAGTCTCTGGAGAAGGGCGGCATATAAATTGAACCAATAAATAAATAAAGTTGCTAAAAAAAAAAAGATGGAGCATAGTCCCAAAGTCCTTTTAACTCTCAGTGCAGATTTAGTTACTTGTTTTCCAGATGCTAAGAAAAAAAAAAAAGGTTTCACAGAACATTGTATAACTATCTTGCTGTTTCTCCCTCTCTCTTTGCATTTCTGCCAAATTTGCTAGAGAATATCACTAATCCTTTTAAACAGATTGGTAGAAGCCATGAAGCAATGCCACTTCTATTGCGGGAGCCCCCATGTAATGTAACTTAATATGATATGTATGATAACAGTAAGCTAGCAGGAATAGACAATACCCCAGAAGACAAGCTCAGGATCCAAAAACATCTTGACAGACTTGAACAATGGGCCCTATCCAGCAACATTAAATTTAATGTGGAGAAAAGCAAGGTTTTACACCTTGGTAGGAGAAACCAAAGGTACAAGTACGGATTAGGCAAAAGCTGGCTCAAAACAGTACCTGTGAGGGACCTTAGATTCTTAGTTAAACTTGAACTTAAACATGAGCCAGCAGTTAACAACAGCAGCCAAAAAAGCTAATATAACCCTTGGTTCTATAAACAGGCATAGAATCAAAATCATGTGAAGCATTAATACTGTTTTATAATTCTAGTAAGACCACACCTGGAATACTGCATCCAGTTTTGGTCACCACATTATAAAAAAGATATTGAGACTTTGGAAAAAGTGCAAAGAAGAGCAACCAAGATGATTAAGGGCTTGGAAACAAAAATGTTGCAGGAATTGGGTATGTTCTGTAATAAGATGGCTCCACTTGGACATTGCATTGCATGAAACTAAAGTTTGTACAAATTTCTAATCCTAGTCTGGAATAAATCTAAGAGGAATTCAACTGCCTTTGCTTGTTTTTGATTAATCAGTTAAGTGGTTGGGTGAAACAATCCCCTAGGGTTTTCAGACAGCCAACCAACTTCAAACTTTAACTTTCAATTCAATTGAAATTAGGAGCAAAGCTTCTGTCTCACTAGAGAAAAGGGCAAGATCAAAATTTACCCAAGCTTATTGTTTTTTGCATTAAATAAGGGGCTTTACATCTAAATGTCATCAGCACTCCAAATAATTCAATATGTCATTTAAAAACAAATGATTATCAAAAAGTGTGTTACATCCATGGCCAAAATAAACAGTAATTACTTGATTTTATTTTGTGTTCACTCTGGCTACTCTGTACAATTCAATGTTTCCATGTCCATAATTTTATTCTGTGAACCAGCTATTGACATCTCCCAAATTGTTTTGGAAGTCAACTCAGCTTATCTTTTATCTTGATGAAAGGAGTGGTTTAAAAGAGAGTAATAGTTTGCCAAGAACAAATCCTCAACATGAGAGAAGAGCTGGAATTTTATTGTTGAATTCCAGCTGCTTAAGGCTCCTGAAAGAGGCAGATATCTTCACGTTACACAGAAAAATGTCTTTGAAGCATTCACCAAATAAAGCAACATTATAACTTATATGAGTTTCCCTTGGCAAGCTCAAACCCACCAATAAACATGCAAACTGAAGGTAGTCAAGCTTATACAGTATGTGTTGATTGATAAGTGGAATTGAAATTTGATTGCGGGGAAGGGGGAAGACAAGGGCCTCTGTTGTGCAGTAAAGGAATGCATTTTGGGTAAAACACTTGCAAGTATGCTTTGGAAAACACTGTATTGCTTCCATGTTTGTAGAGACGTTGCTTGATGAATTCTGTAGCTCTCACTAGTCTCAAGTGAAGAGAAAGGAAAGGAAGAGGTGTTAATATGTAGGCTTAAGAAAAGGGAAAAACCAGGAACCAGCATTTCACCCTTTTACCAATTGCAGGACTGTGAGGGAAAGGAAAACACCTTATAGGGTATGGAACTTGAAGGCATTCACATGACGCCTGAAAAGGCAATGGTGGCTGCACTGTTATGATAGGATTAGTTTACGTCTTCATCTGTTAGCTGCAATTGGTGGCTTTCCCAGACCTGTTTTGCCAAGAAAGAGAGCGATGGGTAAAACAATCAAGTCACAAGCCCGGAAAATAAGAGCTACATCCAGCAAACCTGACATGATAGCCTTGTTTTCCCATCCATCTATGATTTCATCTCTAAAAACTCTTGAGATTGCCTCAGTGGGCCTTTCCTTTTCAATTTGGAACATGTGGCTTTATACATATATTACAAGAGGTATAAATGACATTTTAAAATTCTGTTGCTGGAAAAACACATTTTTCCCTCCGCAAAAATGTAAAACATGGCTATAATAGAAAATAAAATACAGATGGCAGTTAGGTTCCTCAGAGTGAAAAAAGCACTTCAAAGATTTATCCTACCGATACTATCTGCCTGTCTGTTACATAGATGTCACAAATTATGTACGTAGGACTTGCAACAAATCCTCATATCTTAACTATTTGTTTTTGCCAAGTTTCTAAGTAATTAATTTAGTGATAATTGAACACATCCAGCTTTTTAGACAATTTTCTCAAATATTTCATATTTTACCATCTGTTTCAGGGTTCCCCAAGCATGCAGACACTTAGTTTTGGCTGAGTTTCAATTGCTATTCTTTAGGTAAAGAATATACTAGAGAATGGCAAACTATATAATCTATAATGGAAGATTATGGAAAGTTGAAATGTATCTGTTCAGAGAGATTTAATAACATTTATGGGGAGGGGATGCAAGATTTACCAATATGAAAAATGAATTAAAAATATGAAGAATCTGCAATATAAATGAGATAGAAACATTAAACTAATAGATGAAGAAGATATAGACAATGTAACACTACTGCATTTAAAGAATAATTTTGCTTGAGATTAAAAGTTGCTGAAGCCTTAAATGGGAAGATGAAGACCTGGATACGGAAGTGGACCAGGTGTACAGAGTCAATACAAGAAATGGAAAGCTAAATGTACTAAGAAATATATTTGTGCACTTTGTTTGCAAGACGAAAAGTGACCAGGTCTTATTACAATTATCTTAACACCAATTGAAAGATTAATACTGCCAGACTACTGTGTAAGAGAAAAGAATACAAAATTGACCCGTTTGATCAGGAATAAGAGAATAAATACTGTTATAAAATGTTGGACACATCCATTTTTGGGATGGAACAAACTTTTAATTTATGCTGCTTTCAATTCCTGATACAAAATATATATATACACATACACAAATAGACACATAAAAACCCAGAAGAAAAAAAGTCTCTTGATATTGAAGATAAGCTTGGTCGGTCATAGAAATAATGTTTGCACATATTTAGAAACATTTAACTTACAAAAATAAATACCATATGTTTAAATGTTGATGCTTAGCAGCAGCGATACCTCTTAGAAATATTTTCTTTCACAGCTTAGACAGCATTGAAGATGAGCAGGTCAATTTCGAGCTGTCAAACACCGCTATTAATGAAGGCATGAAATGACAAAGACAGAGCATGGAAGAATTCTACCTCCTTCTCTCTTTAAAAGATTTACAGGGTGGTAAATGAATTTTGATCCAGAGAAGCATTAAGGAGAAATTGTCTATGGAGATTCTCAGTCATCCAGGTCATAGTTGTCCCAAAGATGCTTTTTTCAAGAGGCAACTGGACTTTCTGGTTTTTCTTTGAAGACATTTCGCTTCTCATCCAAGAAGCTTCTTCAGCTCTGAATGTCTTCAAAGTAAAACCAGAAAGTCCAGTTGCCTTTTGAAAAAAGCACCTTTGCGATTAGGGGGAAAAATATTTTTAAGCCCAGAGTACAAGATCAGCTCATACTAGGTGGCCACCTATATATGTTAACTGATAGTTCATATAGTATTTTTTCCAGTAAACAATCTAGCAAATTGTTACTGTACATTCATTCACTAATCTGACCTGCTGCCCCTTTTCCTTTAATTTTTAATGCCAACACACAAAGAAGAATGATATGCAGTCAATAACTTTATTATCAATCCTTGGGCATAACCATAAGTATTAACAAAAGAAATGGCAACCAGAAAGTGCACATTGGCTCTCCTCCCCCCCCCATTCACATAAAAACCCCTCCTTCTCTGTATTGTGGAATTATATTGTGGGGAAAAGAGCACAATTGTAGCCTCTCCCCCTAGTATAGGGGTGTCAAACTCGATTTCATTTGAGGGCTGCATCAGGGAGGAGGTGAGCATGGCCAGGGTGGGCATGGCCAGCTCGATGTCACTTGTGTCGGGGGCGCCTGTGGTCGCTTGAGCGCTCTGCCAGTGAAAACAGCTCCATTTTCACTGGCAGAGGCACCGTAGGCTGGTCCTTTGCTGTTTCCAGATCTGGCCCCGTGGGCCGGATCTAAGCACCCAGCGGGCCGGATCCAGCCCACAGGCCTTTAGTTTGACACGCCTGCCCTAGTACGATGTTGCCTAATCCTGAAATTATTTGAAGACTGGGAACATCACCCTACTGAAAAAAAGAACATGTGAGGATAACTCCTTCTTAGCAGAATCCCATGGCAATGAGAGAATTGTTACAGGTTGATTTAATGATCCCAACCCACCACAAGGCAATATGGCTTGAAAGGAAAAAGGGTAGCTCACCCAAGAGATATGTCCCAATATCTCTTGATATTCCATTATCACTTCTTGCACATTCTTCAGGGCAAGATTTCAACCAATCTGTTTGATACAGTATTTACAACTTATCTGATACTGACATATTTCATGTTACAACTGATGTTCTGAATGGAAAAATATTTCATCAGTGCATAAACAAACTCATTCAGCCACCTTTAACAAACACCTCTGCATTTTGTGTGTGGGGATATGTGTATTTAAGGCTGATTTTATCACTTCTGGACATTCACCCAGCTGCTCTTTTCACCTTCAGACTTTTCCCTCAGCATTACTTTCTCATACCATCTTTGTGGAATAAAGAACTGTCAAAAGGCAAGAAACCTATACATGATTTAGTTCTACAAAAGCAAGGTTTCTTTGATTCTGTCCCTTCTTGTTTGCTGCCTTGCTCTTCTATGGGCAAAAAATTACGATACCTTCCAGAATAATCGTATGAAAGCTCTTCACCTGCACAGATGTCACGGTCAGCAAAAAGTGCTAACTTAGGCACCATTGAATCTATTCGGACAGGCACCATAAAGAGGTTGGGCTCACAGGAGTGGTTCAGGAATCTACCAACATTGCCGATATATGTGGGGTCTACAAAAGTCTCTATTGTCGTCCCATCGTACAAGTGTTCCCTAATTGCTATAATGTAATTTGAATCGCTCGATGTCTGCAACTGAGTCCTTTTACGTGCTTCATTAATGTCTAGAATTTCCCCAGAATATTCACACACAAATCGTCCTTTGGGTATGAATTCCAGGGTGCGAAGACCCCACCCTTTCTCAGTGGTCTTGAATACTTCAAGCTGGAATTGTAAGCCCCGTTGAACTATTCTATTTTGACACATTTCTCCACAGTGGCACATAGCGTTGCATTCAAAAATAGGCTTTGAAAATCCCAGTTCACTTCCTTCCGTCTCAATGGATAAGTTTTTATAATTTTCTCCATAGCGAAGACAAGAACATGTTGGGGCCACGCAGGAAGCAGAACCACAGCTGCATCCAGAGAAGGAGATCTCAGATGGGTCTGGTTTGCCTCCAGGTCCAGGCACATGATCGGGACTGTACTGAAAAAAGAAAAGAGAGGAAAACATCTTGAGGGCTATATATTCATAACTGAAGAGGCCGGCATAATATATTGTGTAAAAAGGCAAAAGAATACAGAACAATACAGTTGGAAAAGACCTTGGAGGTCTTCTAGTCCTTCTTCCTGCAAAAGCAGGAGACCCTATACCATTTTCAGACAAGTGGCTGTCCAGTCTTTTCTTAAAAGCCTCCAGTGATGGAGCACCCTCAACTTCTGAAGGCAAACCGTTCCACTGGTTAATTGTTTCTCACTGTTAGGAAATTTCTCCTTTATTTCAGGTTGCTTCTCTCCTTGTTTATTTTCTATCCATTGTTTTCTTGCCTTCTGGTGCTTTTAAAAATAGATTGATCACCTCTTCTTTGTGGCAGCCCCTCAAATACTGAAACACTGCTATCATTCTCTCCTAATCCTCTTTTCACTAGACTGCAACTAATTCCTGCAACTATTTTTCATATGTTCTAGTCTCCAGTCGCCTAATCATTCTTGTTGATCTTCTCTGATTTCTTTTCAGAATCTCAGCATCTTTTTTTATATTGTGGTACCAAAATTGAATGCAATATTCCAGGTGTGATCTTACTAAGGCTTTATAAAGCGGTATTAATACTTCACATGATCTTGATTCCATCCTTCTATTAATGCAGTTTAGGATTGTCTTGGCAATCTAACAAGAAATTCTATCAAGAAATAGATTTAAAAAGTGATAAAAAGATTTAATTAGTGGTGAAATATCTTAAGAGACTGTCTATTTCTAGATAGTCTATCACCATCTCTGTTGTGCTTATATACAATGCTATCTACTTTATTATGGCAACTTACATGGAAAAATTGAGTACTTGTCTACGATGAGAACAAATTTTGGTGATATTAATTGTTCAATTGCACCAATACTTTCATTCAGACTCTGGGAAATAACTCGTGAAGTCAAAAAGGGGAGCAGCATATTCTCCTTTTAAAAGTCTATGATTCATGCATTCAATTTCTAGTTAACAAATGAGTTATTCCTTGCAATAGTTTTGTTTTCTAAATGAACATGTATGAAAATAAAACAGAAAAACATGATGAACAAGAGAGGTTTGGAAAGAAACATTAATCAGATATGAACAATATTTTATTTTTTAAAAAAAGAACAAATTATGTCAAGTAACCACAGAAGAAAATGTTCCTCTTTTTAAACCAATATCAGTTTGCTACTTGGCAGTACTCTAAAGCAAACTAGATAATTGTCATTTTAACATTTTCCTCCCTTGCTTCCAGCATGATTTCTACAGAATTTATTTCTTACTATGCAGATGCTTACCCACAGGGCTCAATTGAGGATGCATTCATAATTTAATTCCTCTAAAGTAGCTTATTAGCTGAAGCAAGAATAAAATTATCTTGCCAGCCTACCAAATCTCTTGTTTCTAATTTTATGTGATAGGACAAGCCATGATTTCGGACATTTAAGATTACAAATGTATCCTTTAATTACAGAAAGAAAAACTTGGAAAAAGTTGTTATTCCACATACTGAAGCGAAACCACAAATGGGGAGATGTGAGACAAAATTATAACTGATTTAATATGCATGAAAACAGTTCTATGGGAATGCACTGCTTAATCAGGTTTCTACTAATTCACCATTTCTTCATGGAAGGATTCTAAATGATCTACTGTAACTGAAGTGAACATTAAAAGAGCTGCGGTGGCGCAGTGGTTAGAATGCAGTACTGCAGGCTACTTCTGCTGACTGCCAGATGACTGCATTTTGGCAGTTCGAATGTCACCAGGCTCAAGGTTGACCCATCCTTCCAGCCTTCCGAGGTCGGTAAAATGACCCAGATTGTTGGGGACAATATGCTGACTCTGTAAACTGGTCAGAGAGGGCTGTAAAAAGCACTGTGAAGTAGTACATAAGTTTAAATGCTACTGCTAAAGCAATCCTGTGCATTTAGACTGGGTGATGGTTTGAAAATAATAACCAAGGATATTAAAGGAAGATAGTTATGTTTGTTATATAGTGAATCTTAAGTTTCCAAAAATGCTGATGTCACAGAAATAAAGATTTAAAAAATGCCCAGGATTTTATCATATCTATTCATTTGATAAATCCAACTGGGTTTCAAAAGCAGCTTGGTAAATTATCTGACTCTGATTAACTAAATCTGTAGTCTCTACTTGGAATGAAAGTTTAAGGAGATAGCTCCTAATGTCCTCTCCATTATACATCAACCCTAGGGGTTATCTTGATGCACAAATGAGCTCTCATAGATGAAACATCGGAAGACACACCTAAAGTACTGCTACAGAAAGATAAGAAGCCAATCCAACACAAGTAACTGCCTGGCCTAGTCAGGCAGTTTTCTTGGCAAGAAGTGGTTTGCCATTGCCTGCTTTCTAGGACTGAGTGACTGCCCTAAAGTCACACAGTTCGCTTCATGCCTAAAGTGGGACCAGAATGCTTGATCTCCTGGTTTCTAGTCTGATACCTTAATCACTACACCAAATTGGCTCTCCTTTGCATCCATGTTAGCAAGCAATCATGTTTAAGAGGGAAAGGTCAGAAAAATACTTGAATTTGAACTTGAATATTGTTAAAACTATTTTAAGAAATCAATGGACAAAATTGCTCATATGTGTTCTGAACTGGACTCCATCCGAACAGATCTTCTTCTGTTTTCTAGGAGCTTGAGTATTGATAAAGTGGGGAGTATTGTTGATGGTGATAGATAAGCATCAATAAACAGGTAAAATTCACATCTCTCCAAACTGGTCAAAGCCACTGGAGAGACATGTAGTTGGGTGTAAGCAGTAGTGAATTCACCTTTGAGTAAAGACATGGTTCCACCTGCATTGAAACTGGCACTAGTTGTCCTCTCCTTAATAAGTATCAGTTATTTGAGGTAGGCTAAATCAAGAAGCAGCACAAGGAGTACAGGAATGCAACTTTATTGCTGATATAATCACAGAAGCTTGGAAACTTGCCACAACTTTCCTGTCTCCTCTTACATCATCAAGACCCAAGGGGAGGTTATTCTGAGTCTCACATCCCTTTTTCCCCAGGACAGAGACTCCTTGTTTTCCTTAACTGTTGCTGTATATATCCTTCAAAGTTATTCCTTAACAGGCCAGATGCATCATGCACTGGCCATGTCCGGTTTAGCGAAGGGGGAAAAAGTCCCGATACGTCATGTGATGCCGCTGTGATGCAGTGAGTTTGACACCCCTACTTTACAAGCTATAAGTGGCACAGTAGTTAGAATTCAGTACTGCAGGCTAATACTGCTGGCTTCCAATTGCCAGAAGTTTGGCAATTTGAACCCCACCAGCTCAAGGTTGATTCAGCCTTCCATTCTTCCAAGGTCAGTAAAATGAGACCCAGATCGTTGGGGCAATATGCTGACTTAAGGCGGTATATAAAAGTCTAAGTACTATTGCTATTGTTCCACCTAACTTTCAACTTTTCAGTATAGAACTTAGATAGCATTGATGATGACAATTGAGGATTACTTCTGGTGGAACCAGAATGAGAGTGGTAACCATGACCTCTTAGCATTTTTCAGAACCACCTGAAATAATATCTTTTTTGACTAGCTAAAGGCCCTGAGAGTTGAAGATATTGTTCTCTTTCCTGGGATTAGTTCCATCAAGTGCTGGGGGCGGGCATAGAGGTGATATATAATTCTAGGGCACTGCACTATAGGGTTTCTTGGGGTTCAACACTTTCCCCTTCCAGTTAAGCATGACATGAAGATGCTGGGTGAGATCATCTGATGAAATGTGAGCAAATATCAGTATGCTGATATCCAGTTGTATATTTTTCTCATCTAAGTAGAGACCATGCCTACCTCTTCTTAGGTGAGCCCAGTCATGGTCAGCCACACACAACTACAAAATCATTTTTTAAAAATATTTTATATTAAGAACATTTATATTTAGTCACATTAAAAATTTTACATTAAAATACTTTGTACAGTATTTATTTCAATAGAAACGTGCAGTGAAACGTTTCTTGAGGTAACAGAGTACAATAGTTTTGCCAGAACAAGAGTGACATCTAATGGATTTTACGGATTACTCAATTTACACTAACTCAAAGGAAAGCAAAACTGACTTTTTTTCACAAAGGGTAGTATAAAGTTTCTTTATCGTCTGCATCAAAAGTATGCATTAGATATAATGAAAACCATATTTTGAATTTATGCCCCTCATACAACCATTAAGCAAACCAGTTTGGTCTGGTGGTTAAGGCACCAGGCTAGAAACTAGGAGACAATGAGTTCTGGTTTCACTTTAGGCATGAAAGCTTCTTGGGTGACAATGGCAAGAAGATTGGTTGGACCAGTCACTCACTCTCAACCCTAACACCTCACAAGGTTATTATGGGAGAAAAATAGGAGACTACACTACAAACCAAATCATAGATCTAATGAATAAACTATTTGCAAAACAGTGCAGGAAAAGCTATTCCTCATTGTCAAAACTGAAGAATGGAATTGAATTGTACCTTTAAGGATTATGTTAAGACTGAGGTAATTATTTTCAGTGTATATTTTCTTTAAAAGTGTTTCAAACTATTTTGGTGTTTTCAAACACTTTAAAAATATTTTAATCCAAGAAAAAAAAAAACCCTAGGCTCTATAGATACATGTAACTTAATCTACTCTTGACCAATGAACATCTGAAATCAATTTATATTAATGCAGTTTGATCAATCTATCAGCCTCAAGCTGCTTACAAAGACGTTTCAGAACCACCTTATCAATTGGTAGTTTTATTGTTTCTTTAAAAAGATAGGTTTTTGCCATGTGGTGGTTTTTCAAACCCTATGCATTTCTCTGATAGTATCCAGAAGTGTCAAAATCAGTTAACTCAGTGCAATATATAATCAGGAGAAACTCTTAAGCTTCCTTTGATGTCTTTGGCTTCGGACATCCTTTTTCTTCCTGTTTGTTATTTGAAAGTCAGTGATCACAAAAGATGAAAGGAGACACGTATATACACACATATATCTCTGTATGGGAGTGGTATAGAAAATAGTGGATAACTGAAGCTCAGAAACGTAAAAAGGAGGGAGGGGAGTCATCGTCCAAAATGAAATCATATCCTTGACTCTTTTTGAAACACAATCTTTCTCTCGCAGAAGGTCTATGGAGATTCTCAGTCATCCAGGTCATGGTTGTCCCAAAAGTGCTTTTTCAAGAGGCAACTGGACTTTCTGAGTTTTTCTTTGAAGAGGTTTCACTTCTCATCCAAGAAGCTTCTTCAGCTCTGTTGGAGCTGTGCTTTCTGCAGGATGTTTTTTGCCCTGCGTCCCTTCACTGTTGAGCACGGGTGCAGGCTGTTGGGGATGAGTCTGTACTATCTGCATCTCAAACTGAAGGGCAAACGGTTCCTGTAGTTTGCATTTTTGGGGAAAATCCGTCCATACTCCCGCACCATTCGAAGGGTGTTCATCCCAAAGTCTATGCAGATTCTCAGTCAACCAGGTTATGGTTGTCCCAAAGGTGCTTTTTTATCAAGAGGGAACTGGACTTTTCTCTGAAGACGTTTCGCTTCTCATCCAAGAAGCTAAAGTATAAATCCTTCCATTCCCCACTATCCATCCAGAGCTGAAGAAGCTTCTCCTATGAGAAGCGAAACGTCTTCAAAGAAAAACCCGAAAATCCAGTTGCCTCCTTAAAAAAGCACCTTTGGGACTTACTCTCGCAGGTGCCGTAAAAGCGCCGTTTACGCAAATCCCGTAAACATAGTTCTATTCTCCGGCCCCGCCCCACGACTACTGAATTCTAGGCATTGTAGTTTTCAGAAGCTTAAGGCTTCCGCTGCAGATATAGGAACAACCAGCCCACAGAAAACTCTAATTCCCAGCGTCCCTTTCGATGCCACCGCCGCGGTTTTAAAAAGCCCTACATTCCGTCCTACAAAGCATAGCTTTCTAAAGGTCCCTGCTGGATTTTTGCTCAGCTCCTTCTACTTCCTCCTTTCTCACCTGGAAAGCCGGAAGTTCCTCCAACCGCGGCCACACGGACACCGGCAGAGGCTCCAGCCCGCGACTCACGTCCATAGTCCGTCTTCAGTTGCGGGGAAAACTGCAGTCCCTTCGGTCTTCCTTTGCCCCGCCCTTTCTGCCTGGATTGGCTGCCGTGCCAGTTTCATTTTACCAATAGCGGAGCTTCAGCCAATGGCAAAAGGGAAGAACTTTGGGAACGTCCCTCGGTGTCTTTTCAGGACCAATTTAATAGAGTAGTGCAGGGTAGTGCAGAAGTAGTGCTTCTGGGTTTCATTTGACACTTTCTCTTTACCTCTTTTCCTTTTGCTGGAAAAGATTAATGTGGAAGAAGAGAAGGCGGGGTTTTAGCTAGAAATAGTTGGTTTTCCCCACCCTCAAATATCGGGTTGTCTTCTGCGGAGCTGTCGCTCTTATCGTGGGAAAAGGAGGAAAATACCCTAAACGAGCCAATTCCACTCACAGATTCATATTTCTATGCCGGGGTCTCCAACCTTGGCCACTTTAAGACTTGGCGGACTTCAACTCCCAGAATTCCCCAGCCAGCTTTGCGGGAATTCTGGGAGTTGAAGTCCGCCAAGGCTTAAAATGGCCAAGGTTGGAGACTCCTGCTCTATGCATTTTTCAGGCACTGCTGCGACTGTCCATTTCAAGAATTATTTGGATATTGATTTTAAAAAGCTTGATGAGGAAATACACATCGACTAGAAATGTGATCAATCGTTCTTAGTTAGATTTTGTTTGCATGTGTTTGGAATAAGTGAAAGTACTTCAGATTTGTTGCTCCAAAGTGCCAGGCTACTTTTTTTTTTTTTAACAAATATACTTGATTCATATGTTGCACTGACCCATAATTAATTTGTTTGATTTTGGCTTAGTACAGCTATCATAGTTTTCATTATCTCTTTGCTGCCCCTCTAGCTTTTTGCGGTGTAGCCCTAGTTTTGTGGGTGAACAGGGCCATTGTCGCTTGTAAAAAGTTTCTAAACAGAGACTTGGGGTTAAGTGTGTAGTACTATAGGCAACCGTAAATTGGTAAAAACGTGATGAGAATAGAATAGAACAGAAGAATTAGAATTAGAATTAGAATTAGAGAATGAGAATGAGAAGAATAAGAATAGAATAGAATAGAATAGAATAGAATAGAATAGAATAGAATAGAATAGAATAGAACAATAACTTCATTGTCACTTTGAATGTATAGTAATTGGCATATATTAAAATGAAATTTCATGAATCACCTCTTATCTTAGTCGGGGCTAAGGTGCTGGGCTACAAATGGATCCAGACAGTGTTACCACACAATATGCTATGTCATTTACTTGGCCATCGTGTATATATAAGTGGTTTTCGGCATTAGGACCCTCTGATCCTTCCATCTCTTCTTCTGGATGGCATTGCACTACCTCAGAAAGAGCCTATACATAGGTATTAGTCCTTGACTCACGACCAAAACTGAGCCCAAAATTTCTGTTGCTAAGCAAGACAGTTGTTAAGTGAGTTTTGCTCCATTTTATGACTTTTCATGCCACAATTGTTAAGTGAATCACTGGAGTTGTGAAGTTAGGAACACAATTGTTAAATGAATCTGGCTTAGCTATTAACTTTGCTTGTCAGAAGTTCGAAAAATGTGATCACATGACCCCAGGACACTGAAACCATCATAAATACAGGCTACTTACCTTTACTACCGGTTTGCAAAAGGGCTTGTGCGCATGCGCAGAAGCTTTTGCACATGTGCAGAAGCTTCCTGATGATGGGGTCAATGGGCGGAGCCTCCGCCAGTTTTACTACTGGTTCTATAGAACCGGTTCCGAACCCACCACTGATGTGACCTGCTGCAATGGTCGTAAGTGTAAAAAACAGTCATAAGTCACTTTTTCAGTGCTGCTGTAACTTCAAACGGTCACTGGTTGTAGGCAGTGTCGACTAGGCAATTTGGATTTCCTCCTGGCTCGTGCTTGAGGAGCAGATAGTAACGAGGCCAGAACTTTGCAGAACTTTGTGCCAGTGGAGAGGTTCTGCTCATAATCACTCATGTTTTCATCAGCTCCCAAATTACTACACTATGCTACATGTGGAGTTACCCTTAAAGAACAGTCATAAGCAACTTCTGGTACAGAATGCAACAGTGTGGGCAATTAAGTACGCTCCTTGATCAGCGCATGTTACACCTTTGTCCTGTAAGCTGTATTGGTTATAGTATGCTTCCAAGTTAAATTCAGGGTGCTGATAATGACCTAGAAAGCCCATCATGCTGTGGAACCAAGTTAATTGAGGGACTCCTGATATTCTTGCTGTCCAATGCCCATCACTCCCATTTAAAATGATAATTGTTGTGGCACAAACTTGTTCACAAACTTACCAAGCTTCAAACCGCTCCAGTCTTAGCACAGTTGTTTTGGTCTTTACAAACCTAAAGATGATAAGTGAGATTTTCATGTATTTATTTATTAATTACAACACTTTATGTACTGCCCAAGACTCAAGGTGTTGTTGTTGTTGTTTTTGTAAACAACAGAAAAAAGAAATTATATACGATAACACCTGGAACATAAAACCTAAAAAGTTTGCTTGTTTAATAAGTTTAATAAGCAGTCCCCATACCTGCTTAAAGGAAACAGCCAAGTTTTCATGAAAAGAGCAAGTTTGGTCTAGTGGTTAAGGCACCAGGCTAGAAAGCAGGAGACTGTGAGTTTAAGTCCCAACTTAACCATGAAAGTTGGCTGGGTCAACTTTGGGCCAATTACTCTCTCTCAGCCCAACTCATCTCACAGGGTTGTTATTATAGGGAAAGTAGTAGTAGGGATATGTTTGCCTTCTTATTTCTAAAAATAATAAAGGCAGGATACTAAATAAATGAATGAACAAACAAGTGAACAAATGAATGAACAAACGAACGAATGAAAAATCAAAAATGGGAAAAAGGGACACAAAAGATAATAAAAGTATCTTTTATTAGATTTTTGGTATTTCACTTTCTATTTCAAAAGATTCCTTATCTTGCTTCTAAGACAGCTGGGCGGAAATGCTTGGTGTACTTCAAAATGTAATTAATACTGACCATTAATTTAATCACAAGGCAAATTGCAGCCAACCTATTTGATATTTTTCAGACTTTTTGCCAAGTGTCTGAAAATACACAATAGCTGCTCATTTTATAAATGTCTAATGACACATTTTCTGTGAAAGAAACAGCTACTGGCTTCTCAGTGGACCCCCTGTTATAAGGCCAAGCTCATTAGCAGTGGGTTAGAGCTGGACTTTTCTTTGATGAGCAGCCAAAGATCATTTTCAAAGCCCTGACAAACAGTTGAGGCACCCTACTGTTTACTAGGGAGATGTGCAGCCCTAATGAAGCACATTAGAGGCGGAGGAACCATCAAATCCATGAGATGTCACAATGTCAAAAAAAAAAAAAGTCACCACAGCTTCTCATCTACAACTGAGAAGAGAGATAGACAAAGTGTTGACTCCTGGAATCCTAATGCACCCCCTTGGATACGTTCCAACCTCATAATGTACAGCGGAAATAGTTATACCAATTAATTAACATGAAAAATTATTTTAACACCTCAAGAAGAATAGCTATTGTCAAACTGAAACTAATCTCAATTTTAAATGAAAATGAAATCACCTTGGCTAAATAGATTTAGTTAAACTGCCAGTGTCATCCTTTGAAGTTTTTGTTAAAGTTTTATAACCCTAATGGTAACCAAGGGAGCTTCATGAAATATAATACAGTACATTAAAACACAATTTTGAAATCCACCTGTAAGTTTTTTCTAGTATTTTGACAAGCAAATATGAAATTACTAAACATTTAGGACAGAAGTGGAAAATTAGAAACTATGAGGCTGAAGGAGTTCTCAAAGCCTATGAGGCTGCTGCTGGGATTTCCAAAAGTTGTTTTCAAATTATAATGTGTAAAATAATCACATTAACTATGCATCATTTTAATTATATTTATTTATACATTAAATCAACTTTAGGTTTTATTCTGATTCTCCCCATAAGTATGGGAAAAAAATCCAGGAAAAAAAAATCACACAGTCCTGGTTTAGACTATGAAACATCCACATCTTTTATATTTCCCCTTATCACTTCACAAAATGGTTTTGAAATGAAAAAAATTTGCAGAGGAAGTTTCTGATGTCTTCTGGAGGTGTGAAATTGTGGTTCTCTGAGGAGATGGCAAACCAACAATTTCACTGGGCAGACCTGAGCAGCAAAATGTGAATGCTCACTTTATAATTATCTGATATGTTGTTTAAGCCATTGTTTGCTTAACCAAGAATGAATATTGTAGAAAAAGAAAAAGATGGTTTCAGATTCATGTTTTTGCATTTCAAAATAAATAGATATAGGATAAATAGCACTTGGGAAGACATCTTTAAGTATCTTAAATCTGGACTGCAAAAAGATGTAGAGATACTGTTCAAAAATTTCTACAGTAATTCTATTCTGCCGACTAGTGGTCACTCAGAGTTGTGCAGCCTGATTTGCACTTCTGCCTTAAAGAGATGTCCAGTCTGATCACCTCCCTTAAGACAAGGGGAAGAATAGTTTATTTATTGGTTAAATTGGTATCCCACCTTCCTTTCATAGCATTTTTGAACAGATAGCCTAGCAGTTGAACAACATATAAGGAGGACTTGTGCATTTTGAAAAATAAATACTGGTATTAAAATATTTAAAATTAGCTTTATGTTAATATTGCAAATTTTATTGATTGGTTGTTTTATTAGATCTTTATCCTGCCTTTATTACTTTATAAGTAATTCTATTCTGCCGACTAGTGGTCACTCAGAGTTGTGCAGCCTGATTTGCACTTCTGCCTTAAAGAGATGTCCAGTCTGATCACCTCCCTTAAGACAAGGGGAAGAATAGTGTGATGGTGAACCTTTTTTCCCTCAGATGCTGAAAGCGCATGTGCATAATGCAATGCCCCCCACAGGCTCCGCCGCCTGTGCATGAGCCCATGACCCCGTGACCCCCATGCTCCCCCCACCCACTGTGCATGTGCACGAGATCCCCATTTTTATGCTAGCAGGCCTCCCTGAAGCCTCC